ACACACACACACACACACACACACACACACACACACACACACGCGCGCACGCTAAATCATTCCATTCAAAAACAATATGGCCTTTCCTGGCACAGGATTGGAATGCTGAAGCGTTTAGCAGACACAACACAGTCACAAATTCATATGTCAATATTTTATCCATAAGGCTCTACTCAAGTACCCCCCGGGCCCCCTTCGTTTCCCAGCCTCCCATCCGCACCCCCCTGAACAAATTGTGGCAGTAATTTTCCTCTCTCACTGGCTTTTATGAGGCATAATGTGAAGCACCTGTAGCCACAAGAGAGGCCAGAAATCATTCAAACATGCACACGCACACACACACCTGACGTTCGGGATGGTCCCGAAGCTCATTTAAGACCGATGGCCGCTTTGCTGATGTGACGACTGCCTTTGCAGCGGTGGGATTACAGTAATTGTCGGGAATCAATAGCGTCACGATGGAACCGGAGCCTGCTATCGGTTGTACCTGGAGGCACTTTTCCTTTGAATGTCAAGACTTTGGTCATCTTCAAAGTGACCGAGCAGCAGGTGCATAAATCCTCAATGAAGTCACCCGTTTTTAGATGACTTGCCCATCGGTGTGGAATAGCAATCAGCACTCTCCAGGGGGCGCATTCTTAAAAACTCACTAAACGTCTTCTTTTCTGACTTATCAGCTTCTTCTTGATGGATTGGCATACAGTTAAGAGCAGATATAAATGTTTCCTCAAGGATAAATTCAGATTTTTTGGGGGGGGGAAGACATTTGGTGCAGATTGTTGAACGGTCTTCTTTAAAGCATCAACTCATCGAATTTCCAAGAATGTGAAGGATGATGTGAGAAAATGATCAAACGAAATGCAAGGCTGGAGGTGGATCAAAACTTCTGTGTTGACAAGGCAATACATCTCATTTTTGATTCGCACTGTAAGGAAGGTAATGCTCGTGTGAATGTTGGTAATCTGGTATGTTCATTTAAAAATATATCATTTCAAATCAATATTTTGAAATGGCATCACGACACTCATCGATTTGAGATGGCATCCTGTGTTTGATTGAACTTTACTTTGTTTGACTTTGATTTAGCCCAAGGAAAAACAAAACGTTGATTGAGTTCTGTTTGTTGTTGTAGTGCAGGGGTGCCCAACCTCCGGGCCGCGGACCGCTACCGGTCTGTGGGTCATTTGGTGCCGGGCCGCACAGAAAGAATAAATAACTTACGTTACTTCCGTTTTATTCATTTCGGAATCTGAAAGATGTTTTATTTTGAAAAATTACCGGATTCTCTGTTATATCGGATTACAGTATGTCACTCTGTGCTTTGAAAAGTTTTTTCGGGAAGGGGAAAAGGCCCAGCCAGGAGACAGAAGAGGAGCCTACGACGTTCAAGAAAAAGAAGGCTACATTTAATAGACAGTATCAGGAGTCCGACTTCAAATACGGTTCTATCTCAACGGGAGATTCCTACGCACCAAGCCCGTATTTTTCATGCACTTTTTATCTGCTGTGTACAGTATCTTATTTTGAAGTCACGTTTAAACGTTACCATAGTGACCAGAGAGCGTTACGGCCAGATAGGACGTTCCTCGGGTCATGATTTGTGTTAATTATGTTTAGAAAATACCACAGTTTTCATGCAGGTCATATCCCATTATTTTGTTGCATTCGTCCGGCCTTAACGGCCGGTCCCTGAAAATATTGTCGGTTCCATTGCGTTTCCCACCTGTTGCTGATGCATTCTTTGATCTCTGTGGTCCAGGAGCTGACCTGCTGGTCGTTGTCTGTCTCAAATATCAAACTGCCTCGGTTAACCTTTGAGGGTGACAGAGAAGCTTTTTCAATGGACCCACACAATGAAGGCGGTGTGGTTCTCAAAAATGAAGCAGCGCACCTTTAAGACAAACGTGTTTAAGTTGTCGGGCATCTCCAGCCGGTTGCAGCGACGGACTTCTTGGATATCTGAGCAGTGAGTCGTCAGTTTGGGAGCGGAGGCCTAGAAGAGACAGACGGTGATGACCGTTCATTGGAATGTAACGATGTCAGCAAACAGCTAGACGAGAATGGAAGTCACACGCGCATTCCTGTCGCCACGAAGGCCGCCCAGTGACCGGAACGCGGCGTGGAAGGTGCACGGCTCGTCCAGTAAACGCAGGAAATAAATGGCAGAAAGAAAATAGGAGCCACACGGCTGTGTTGGTGCGTCAACGGGGGGAAATGAGCTCAGTACGTGCGTACGACGTGCCATCGGCATGAGCTGTCCGCCCGAAGCACAGCGGGAGCTCTCCAGACATGACTTGGTGGGCTGAATTGTGGCAAATAACAATTGAGTTGTTGTTGAGCTCCGTCTGTCCCAAACTTCGACGAACAACCCCACAGATTTGAGATCAGACCACCCAAATGGGTGGAAAGAGTAAATATTCAGAGAAATCGTTTATATTATATTCAGGTTACCAAAAATCACCGGTGGGTCCGGTCATTGATTTTAATGTCAGTTTGGATCACAGTAAGAGAACAAAAAATATGAGGCTGCTTTTAGCTTGTCTTTTTGAAAAACAAATGTATACTTTTCATAGGATAAAAACGGTGATGGCATTTGTTATTATTTTCTTTTGGAAGTCATGTTTGCACCTCCCTGCCCCCTCTTTTTTTTTATCTCATTGCAAATGATTTTGATATACTGGCAAAAGCAAATCACAAGCCACGACATCCGCTAACCAGGAGACGA